ATGGCTCAGGTGGTCAGGTCCCTGCCACCCAAGCAGGAGACCTGGATTGAGTTCCCAGCTTCAGCCTGGCTCAGCTGCAGGTGTTGCAGGCATTTGGGAAGTGAATCAGCAGATGGAAGCTCTTTGGCTGTCTCTATACTAATAAATATTTTAAAAATGGAAAATAATCACAACACCAATTCCCACACTCCAGAATCTCTGTAGTGTACAATTTGCATTGGCTTCCCGGTAGTTTGGCCCTGGTCTACCTCTTCCACCTTACCTCAAACTGGCATCACCTTTGCTCTCTATGCTCCAGCCACACTGACATACTGTCTATTTCTTATACTTACCAAGTTCCCTGCCAGAAGGCTCTTCTATTCCCCCTTGGCCTACGTATCCTTATCCTTCAAGTCTCAGTTCACGGTCACCTGTGAGGAAGTGTTCCCTCACCTCCTTACCTAGGTCAAATCCTCCACTACACTCAGGGCACTATGTATATCTGCTTTATACTCAGTCCATGCAGTTTCACAGCTTGAGTGATTATTTGGTTAACAGCCATTCCCACACTAGATTGCAAGCTCCAAAAGGCAAGGCAACCTTAAGTGCAAAACTGAGCATGGTGCCTGGCACTTTTTTTTTTTTTTTCCAGACTCTTATCTATTTCAAAGAGTTACAGAGAGAGGTAGAGCCAGTGAGAGAAAGAGGTGTCTTCCATCTGCTGGTTCACTCCCCAGATGACCGCAACGCCCAGAGCCAAGCTGATCAGAAGACAGGAGCCAGCAGCTTCCATTGGGTCTCCCACACGGTGCAGGGGTCCAAGGACCTGGGCCATCCTCCACTGCCCTCCCAGATCATAGCAAAGAGCTGGATCTGAAGTGGAACAGCCGGGACTTGAATCGGTGCCCATATGGGATGCCGGCACTGCAGGCCAGGGCTTTAACCCACTGTGCCACAGCGCCAGCCCAAGCACTCATATTTTTAAATAAAAATATATATTGTACAGACTCTTTGCCTTCCTGTTGTTCTGTTTCTGCTCTCTTTGTACAACTTTCAGATCATCCTCAAAATTCAGCTCAAATACAATTCATCCTCAAATCTTCTCCAATCCTCCAAATTGTAAATTTCTCCTGTCACGAAACTATTCTAGCATGATTTTTTTTTTTTATTTAACAGGTAGAGTTACAGACAGTGAGAGGGAGAGACAGAGAGAAAGGTCTTCCTTCCATTGGTTCACTCCCCAAATGGCCACTACGGCTGGAACTGGGCTGAACCGAAGCCAGGAGCCAGGTGCTTTTTCCAGGTCTCCTACACAGGTGCAGGTGCCCAAGCACCCATGCCATCTTCTGCTTTCCCAGGCCACAGCAGAGAGCTGGATCAGAAGAGGGGCAGCCGGGACTACGAATGGCACCCATATAGGATGCCGATGCCATAGGTAGAGGATTAACCTACTGCGCCACAGCACCAGCCCTTCCTATATGTTTTTTCTATCATTGATACAATGGAGCAGTTTCTACCATGCAATACAGTTACTTTTATATATTTTTTTCTCTTCTATTAGCCTGGGGATTTCCCTATTAGCCTCTTTTTGAAATTAATCTCTTATCTTCAAGTTATTCAAGGAAAGTCCTGCAACATCTAAATGAACATGAGATTAGTATAAGCCTACAGCACCTCCAGTGCACACTGCAGAAAAGCAAAGCATTAAAGACTTAGAAAACCCACAATCCTGCAGGAAGGATACAGAAGAAATTACAGCTTTAGACTTCTTCCAAGCAGGCAACTAGGTAGCAGGGGGACAAGGGCCAAAAGAAACATTTTGCTATATCTCATTTTGCTTCTATTGAAGCTTAACTCACATGGACACATTATCCATTACACACTATATGAATCTTCACTTAAGCCAACATATGTAACATGTCACAAATTAATTGCCAAAAAGTTGTAATTTAAAACCCAAACCAACAGACTTTATGGAAAAATAAAAGCTAAATAAAACCTGAGCAATGTTCATACTGACCAGGCAAAATAGGACAAAACTGCAATTTTCTGCACTCTCCTACATAAATTTCACCTAGTATACACATACTGTCCTAGTAAAATGTTACTTTATTTGCTAAAAAAACAGCTTGATAGTTTACATATTTAACAGCCAAGTTCCTTATCTTATTAACTAAAGGCCATCTCACAGAAGAATACATTTTGTACTTCACATAAAAAAGCCTTTCTTACTTCGATACTGCCCCAGCAGTCTCCCACACTTCAGGTCAGGCATCCTCTGACATATATGCATGCATATGCATACACACACACACTGCTGTGCTGAATGACTGTCACCCAGTCGCAAGCCCAAGGCTTTTTATTTTTATGGGCTGAAGCATCTTCTCCTCCTACCATAACCTGTCATTTTTATTTGGTATATGAAGGTGTCAGGAATATACCCAAGAATCTAAGAGGAAAAAAAAGCAGTAGTGAAACTGGAATCAGCACACTAGACGACACATGGACACAGCCCCGACACACCAAGGTGGGACTATGAAAAAGTTGGCAACCAACAGCCATTAAGAGCAGCCACAAGGCAGTACCACGCCGGTTAAGTGGTGCCGCAGGAGGTTCTGGCTGTGCCTGTATCTTCAAAGTTAGCAGGCACACTCACTCATAAGCCTGAAATAACAGTGGAGGGGACGAAAGAGAACTTGGGCAAAAATACAGGAAAAAATGGTGAGGGATCAGAGCTTGGAAAGGTCTCAGAAATCAAGGCGAGGTTAAAGCAACCGAGACGACTTAGTATAATAGAAGTATCTGGAGGCCAGAGGGGAAACAGGGTGAGTAGGGAAAGGCACAACAATAGCGGTGGTCTGTCTGTAGGAACAAAGTCAGTCCAAAGTGGAAGGAGTGATGGAAATCAGGGATGGGGAACCATGCCGCCTTTGAAAAAGTCATCGCGGAAGTGGGGCGGGTTAAAGAAAAGAACTTCATTCCAGAGAAAAGACGATCTTTGCGGGGGCGGGAGGGTGAGGAAGGTACCGACGCGAGCGTGGAAAGGCGGGATGGCGAGGCGAGCCGTCTGACTCAGAAGCTTCGCGGCAAGCACCGCGAGCGGCGCCAAGGAGCGCGCCAGGGGCAGCGGCGTGGCCCGGGGTTCCCTCACCTTGGCCTTGTAGCTGGGCAGGTTGCAGAGGATGTCCGTGCGCAGAGCCTCCTCTGCCAGGCTGCGGGCGCACAGGCTCCGCCACACCTCGCTGTTCTCGTCGCCGTGCAGGCAGCGGTACCAGTGCTTGCACACCAGGGCGCAGCTCCGCAGCTCGGACAGCTCCAGGTACGAGAACACCAACTCCAGCACCCGGCTGGGCAGCCGGCCCCCGGCCCCCGCGGACCCGGAGCCCGAGCTCGCACCCGCGCCGCCGCCGCCGCCACTGCAGCCAGCACCGCCCGAGGCTGCCCCAGCCCCCGGGGCTGGAGCCGCCATCGCCTCACCAGCCGGCCCGAAGGCCGCCGCCGCCGCCGCTACCCCCCGTCTCTGCGCGAGAGGCCGAGCCTCGCCTTGACACCGGAGCAGCTCGCTCACCGCCCCTTTCAGTGCCAACCGCCGGCGCCACCACCGCTCCCGCCCCTGCCCGGGGGCGTCCGCCGCGCGCCCCGCCTCACTGAGGGCAGACGCACCGGCTGCACGGGCGTCCCCCGCCCCTCCCCCGCGGCTCAGCCCGGGCGCCGGAACCGCCCGATTCGCCAGGCCTCCCCGCGGCGCGCCCGTGGCTCCGCCATGCGGGTTGAGGGCACGAAGCAAGGGCGCACGCCCAGCTCGCTCGCGGTTCCTCTCGGCCCCGGATGTGACTGTTTGGCTGAGGCGCCTCGCGCCCTACGCTTGATGGGATTGGGCGCTCGCGGGTGAGGTCATCACGAGGCGCCGAGGAGGGGAGCGGGAAACGCAGGTACGAGGCTGTCGCCGGTGGGTTCGGAGCTCTCCTCCAGTAGGTTGTCCTCTTTGTGGTAGCAGCCTCGCGTCGGCTTTCCTGGGTGGCTTTTCTTATGAAGTTTCTTGCAAGAGTTAGGTCTCTGCTTCCCGCGGCAGCTTAACGCATGAAACTTGCCTGGTAGCTAGTTCCTTGTTCCGCCACCTTCGGTATGGTTATCTTTAGCCTAGGCAGCTGAGGCAGTCTCTTCTTGGCCTGGCCTAGTCGTTCTCCCCCTGTATCGGTACTTAAAAGAACTGATGTCCCAGCGAGCGTTCGGAAAGTAAGATGGCTACATCTGAACACCATCCCACGCCCCCCCACCCCGCCACACACCAAAAAAAAAAAAAAAAAAAAAAAAACTGGATAACTTAAAGTGCCATTTGAGTACTAATTAAACGCTACAGTATTTTGGACAAAATGTGGTCTTTCCCAGATCACCACTTAGTAGGCAGATTAAGGCAGTGGGCGAAGTATTCAATTAAATGTTTCAGTAGAATGACGTGGAGGCTGTAATTACAGGTGTTTTCTTGGGAGGAGAAGAGTTTGAGCATTATTTGATCATACTGCGTTTCCCTAGGTGGCCCCCAGACAGCATTTTAAGGACGTTTAGTAAAAGGGTGACCACCACTTGATCCATGATGTGAGCCGGGCACTTCCCGATAGTCGGGCCCTTGACCCATTTTTTAATCTAATTCCCAGAACAACTCTATGAGGTAGGTAAGTGTAATAATAGGTTTGCAAACATCCTTCCTAGTCGGCTCCAGTGTTTTGCCTCCTTTATGTGGGTGCAATCCATTTCTTGGTCTATGAAGAACAGCTAGCTTTCAAACTCTGATGTAATTACTTGTTTTATGACTTGCTGATGTCTTCTTTCCTGGTGTCTTTTTGACCAAGCTCAGTAACCCACATTCTTTTCATTCTCGGTAATGCCAGTGGTACAGCCCTTTAATTGTTTTTGATTGATCTCCAGCTTGACATCAGGAGGAACTTGTGAAACCTGGAACCTGTAGAGAGGAGTTGGCCTATACCGGCTATAGTGGTGGTGACTCTTTCAGGTGATATTTCTTGAGTTTGGACTAAGTTTTACCTGAAAAGACAATTGTGTTTCTTTTAAATCGTCCAGGGTAAGTGGAGTCGTCCATCTGAGAAGGGGGTACAGAACCATGCAAGATGAGCAGGTTTATGGGCATGGGCACTTGACAAGGGAACTGGGTGAGTGGAGACAGGAGTGAAGCAGAGGAGTGTTGAGAGTACGGACCTCCGAGCTGTTAGCAGCTCTGATCTTTCTTCCTGCGTGTCACAGTGAAGGTGAGGGGAGCCTGTGAAGTGCTCACGTCATAATTCTGCTGGTAATCTAGTCCAGTTGCTGAGGTGACTCAGTGGCAGGCTCTCCCCCAAGTAACCCAGGTAGGGTTTCGAAGTAGGAAGACATTACCTTTATCACTTCCTTTTCTATTTACAGATCTTTCACCTGCTTATCCCCCTCCCCACCAGGCCTGCTCCCCGTAGTCAGTGGCACTCCACCCCTGAAAGGCTCTGAAATACCCCTACCCTTTCCTCCCCCACTCTGTCATATCTTTGGGTGTTAGAAAGAAGGAATATATTATCTAATTAAGTCATTCCCAGTGGCACATGACTGACCACTGTGACTCTTTAGGTAACATCGGAAAAAAGAAGCTTGTTGACATGAGCCGTGACTGTGGGGTGGTAGCACTTAACCATTTCTGCTAGGCTTTCCAGTCCCAGAAAAAAAAAAAAAAAAGAAATAAGAAAAGAAAACAGTGGCTTGCCAACTCAATCCTAAAAGATTGTTCTGATTTAACTCCAATTTAATGATTTTTTTCCACTACCCTTCCACCACAGCAGTTTGATTAACACGTTGATGATGGTCTTTGGGTATGTTTCAAGTGATAGTACTTTCAATTTTACAGACTAAGCAATCACATGATTTTGGAGGATGTGATTAAATTACTGATCAGTATTCTGCATGAGGAACATTGACTAAAATCATTAGCCTCACATGGTATTTTGGGGGCTTTCCCAACTTTTTCTTAACATTCCCAGTAATAGGTTAATAGTTGAATTTTTCTGACAGGTAGATGACAGTAACTATTGTCCATGTGTCTTAGAAATCAGAAGCTCAATTCGTTTTTCACTCAGGTGCATGCAGTTTAAGGCAGAGCTATTCTTGGGTCTTGTGAGAACAGAACAAGAGTTCCTGCTGTTTCATCATGGAAACATGTATAGGAACTGTGTTGTTTATAATAATCCCTTTAAATACAGATTTCACTTATTGCCTAACTTCTCACATTTTGGGTGTAGACCTTAAACCAAACATGCCTCTAAAATTGGAGTACTCTTTCCCAGAAAAGAATTAGAAAATCTCTGAAACTCATGTCTGCCAGTCAACATTTATTTGGATCTCCTGTGGGTAGATTTGTAATGAAGAAATAGAAATCCTAGAAACTTGCCTCATTCTTGTCTTAAAGAAAACCTAAAATTCCAAAAGGGATACAAAATCTGTATGCCCACAAATCAGCAAATCTGAGTGTAGAGGACAGATTTCCTGACTTTAAGGTTGATTCATCATAGCAAAATTTAGGAAAGAAGTGATCAACATCCTAAAGGTTCATAACAATTAAAATTACTTATAACTTCAATTGCCTTTTAAAATAGTTAACTCAGATTTCATATTTTAAGGTAGGATAGTATTGCGTGTCATATAAGTCACTGTGACACTTTCTAAGCCGAAATAACATCAATACCTTTCACTTGAAATTACGTTGTGTTCTTGTTTTCTTGGTCTGCCTGGGAATTTTACAAGTCTTTCTTACAGCAAGAGTCAAACCACCAGGGCTCCCTGTCTTTACCTCCTTCTCTGACTCATTTCCTCTCCAAGCCTCTCCTTAAAATCTTATTTGCTTCAGTCTCTATCTAATTAGTTTCTTCTGTATACTAACTCAATGCTTCTGCTGAAATAAAAATGTTTATGTTTTGCCCATTTTGTCATCTTGATGAAAATTGCTCTGTGCGTTTTGATGACCACATTTCTGTTACTTGAGTTACTAATAGATCAGGAAATTTTTTTTTCTTTTTGTTTAATCATCTAGTGATTGTGTGTGCCTGTGGGGGTGGTGCTAAAAGTAAGAGGAAATAAACAAATTTGTGTTAGGAATGGAAACTTTAAACAAATTGCCAGATTATTTTAAATGATTTTTCCAAACAATATTAGAAAATCTATCCTTGTACCATTAGACTAAATTCAGGATTCTCATCTGAAAATAGTGGAGCAGTTCTGGTGATTTTTCACTTGGTAAATTCTTCCTATGTTTATAAAATGAAAAATTAAATTTGTCCAGGTGGATTTGTTTGCTTCCTTTCACCTGACCATTAGAGTTGTATGAATTGTGGTGATTTTCTTTGTTGCCTTGACCAATAGCTGGTTAAGGCAGGGTGATAATGTGTGGCAATTCTAGTCTATATATTTGGGATTCCTAAAGGATGAGGAATCTAAATCTTGTACTTAAGTCCTGTTGTGTAAATGTAAGTAGATGATAATATAATTAAAAATAGGTGAGTATATTTGAAGTAGTAATGAATTGGTTTTTGTCATTACTTGTATTTGCAAAGAATACTAATAAGTAAAACTTGTCAAGTGAAGTTATTAGAAAAGGGTCTTCATTATTTAAACATTTGGGATCCTTTTAATTAGATCCAATGCTCAACTCTAAGAGCCAAGAGATCTTGGTCAAATTATTTAGCATTTCTAAGACTCAGTTTTATTATCTGTCAAAGGGACTGAAACCAGATAACCTACTGAATGAATCTCTGAGGTAAGACCCAAGGGTCTGCATTTTCAACCAGTTCCCCAGATGATGATTAGTGTGTCACAGGTTCTGAAATTCCAGCATACATCAGGAGCACCTGGAGGATTTACCAGACACTGCTGACCCACACCCAGAGCTTCAGATTCAGTAAGTAGTTCAGTCTCTTGGCTCTTAGAATTTGCATGGGATCTCATATAAAGGGATCTCAAATGTTTAAATAACGAAGACCCTTTTCTAATAACTTGATTTGACAAGTTTTATTTGTTAGTATTTTTTTTTTTTTTTTTTTTTCGTAACAGGCAGAGTGGACAGTGAGAGAGAGAGAGACAGAGAGAAAGGTCTTCCTTGCCGTTGGTTCACCCTCCAATAGCCGCCGCGGCCGGCGCGCTGCGGCCGGCGCACCGCGCTGATCCGATGGCAGGAGCCAGGAGCCAGGTGCTTCTCCTGGTCTCCCATGGGGTGCAGGGCCCAAGCACCTGGGCCATCCTCCACTGCACTCCCTGGCCACAGCAGAGGGCTGGCCTGGAAGAGGGGCAACCGGGACAGAATCCGGCGCCCCGACCGGGACTAGAACCCGGTGTGCCGGCGCCGCAAGGCGGAGGATTAGCCTAGTGAGCCGCGGGCCGGTGTTAGTATTCTTACTTTTTTTTTGTTTGTTTGTTTGAAAGGCAGATTCAGAGAGAGGACAGAGAGATCTTCATCCACTGATTCACTCCTGACATGGCTGCAATAGCCGGGCCAGGGCAGCCTGAAGCCAGGATCCTGAAACTATCCCAATCTCTCACATGGGTGGCAGGGGCCCAAGAACTCAAAACATCTTACACTGTTTTCCCAGGAGCACTACCTGGGAGCTGAATCAGAAGTGGAGCACCCAGGATCTGAACTGGCATTCATACGGGATGCCAGTGTTGCAAGCAGCAGCTTGATCTGCTCCATCACAATGCTGGACCCCCCAACAATTTATATTTCTAAGTTCCCAGGGGATGCTGATGATGCTAATCTGGGGACTATACTTTAAGAGCACCCATAGTATATATATGGTACTTCTTTGCCATGGCCTAATAAAAAGAGGAAGAGTAACAACAGGAATATCTGTCAAGCACTATTACGTAACAGGCACCGTATTATATGTGCTTTACGTATACATATAGTATCATCTAATTTTCAATGACCTTACGAAAGAATGTTATTCTCATTTAGTAGAGAAGGAAAGTGAGTCACAGAGTTTTAGTAACTTGCCCAAAGTCATCCAGCACAAACCTGAAAAGTCTGTCTTCAAAGCTCACTCCCTAACACATTTAGATAAAAAGTATAATGATCATGTAGCCCTTTCAATAAAAGAATTTTTCGAAGGGCTAGCACTGTGGCGTAACAAGTAAAGCTGCCGCCTGCAGTGCTGGCATCCCATATGGGTGCCATTTTGAATCCCAGCTGTTCCGCTTCCCATCCAGCTCTCTGCTATGGCCTGGGAAAGCAGTAGAAGATGGCCCAAGTCCTTGGGCCCCTGCACCCGCGTGGGAGATCCGGAAGAAGCTCCTGGCTCCTGGCTTTGGATTGGTGCAGCTCCTGCTGTTGCAGCCATCTGGGGAGTGAGCCAGTGATGAAGACCTCTCTCTTTTCTCTGCCTCTCAAATAATTAATTAAATTATTTTTCCTACATTTAAATATAAATATTGTTTATTTTAATGTTCTCATGTCAAAGACTGGAGAGATTAGCTTACCTGGTCCCTAATGGCAGGGGAAGTCTACTTAGGCATTTGCCAGCCAGTACACAACTCTGTATTCAACTGCCTTTGGTATACTTGATCTTTTTTTTTTTTTTTTAAACATTTAATTATTTGAATGGCAGAGGTACAGAGAGGGAGAGGCAGAGAGAGGTATTCTATCTGCTGGTTCACTCCCCAAATAGCTGCAAAGACTGGAGCTGAGCCGATCTGGAGCCGGAAGCTTCTTCTAGGTCTCCCATGAGGGTACAGGGGTCCAAGCACTTGGGCCATCTTCTACTGCTTTCCCGGGCCATAGCAGAGAGCTGGATGGGAAGTGGAACAGCTGGGATTCAAAATGGCACCCATATGGGATGCCAGCACTGCAGGCGGCAGCTTTACCCGTTATACCACAGCGCCGAATTTCCCATGCCATAACAGAGAGCTGGATCAGAAATGGAACAGCTGGGACTTGAACTGGCACCCATATGGGATGTGGGCAGTGCAGGCAGAGGCTTAGCCCACTGTCAAAGTGCCAGCCCCCATACTTGATATTTAAATGTCTTTTTTATCTTTATTATTTGTTGAGGGGTTTTTTTTGACATGTCTTTTTAAAAAAATATTTAAATGATGCATTGATAACATGTGAGATGATAGCTCCGTTTCTGGCCCCTTCACAGAGTCTTCTGGACCGTTATGGCAGTCAAGTGGACTGGTGGACATTCCTCCCCGGTGCTCTGCCTGAATGCAAGTAAAGAAGGGCTGGTGGTGTCTGGAGCAGAAGGCGGAGATCTCACGGCTTGGGGTGATGATGGGACTCCATTAGGACACACACGGTTCCCAGGGGCTGATGATGTTACCAGTGTCTTATTTTCTCCTTCCTGCCCCTCCAAGCTCTATGCCTCACACGGAGAAACAATCAGCATACTGGATGTCAGGTCCCTCAAAGGTTGCCTGGACCTCTTTCATGTGAATGAAGAAGAAATCAATTGTCTTTCATTGAATGAAACTGAAAACCTGCTGGCTTCTGCTGACGACTCTGGGGCCATCAAAATCCTAGACTTGGAAAACAAGAAACTCAGCAGATCCCTGAAGAGACATTCCAATATCTGTTCCTCTGTAGCTTTTCGACCTCAGAGGCCTCTGAGCCTGGTGTCGTGTGGACTGGATATGCAGGTGATGCTTTTGCAGAGAGTACTTGGGTAATTTCCAAATGAGATTTGCTAACAGAATCAAATTATTAATCAGGCTAAATATATCTCTGCATTTTCTATTCTCTGCTAACATGTCTTACTCATTTATGAACCATAAGCTTTACTTCTACCCTAACAAAACCTCATTGATTTTATTCACAATGTAATCATCAATCTTTTAATCTTTCTTTCTCTGTGCCTTAAGACATTCCTGAAACTTGAGAATTCAAATACTTGATTCTAAACATCTATTTAAACAAAGGGGATTGCTGAAGGCAGAGTTGATCTACCTTTTCTCTACAAACTCTGTTAAAAAAACAAGTTGGAGGAGATAGGTTTGTTTTCACTGAAAAAATTACTTGAAATACTGTGTATTGATGACCAGGGTCAGAGCTAGTTTTTGTTGTTTGTTCTGTTTTGTTTTGTTTTGTTTTGTTTTAGAGGAAAGGTTTATTGTTGGATGGGGGAAGCCTGATGGGGTATGAGAGAGTAAGAGAGAGAGATTAGGAGAGAGCTCAATGCTGGGTTTCGAAAGGAGCATCACAGGTTGGCCCAAATCCAGAGCAAGGCCATCAGGAAGGTAGGTATATCTAGAAACCCCATTATATGGGAGCTGAAGACATTTAATTCTTAGTTGTCTTTATGGGAAAAAAAACCATGTTGGTCTAAACAGCCAAAGTCATGAGGAAGCAGATTTTGGTTTAATGAAGAGTTTTCGAGCTGGCGCCATGGCTCAATAGGCACACCAGGTTCTAGTCCCGGTTGGGGCACCGGATTCTGTCCTGGTTGCCCCTCTTCCAGGCCAGCTCTCTGCTATGGCCCAGGAGTGCAGTGGAGGATGGCTCAAGTCCTTGGGCCCTGCACCCGTGTGGGAGACCAGGAGAAGTACCTGGCTCCTGGCTTCGGATCAGTGCGATGCGCCGGCCATTGCGGGATGAACCAACGGCAAAAGGAAGACCTTTCTCTCTCTCTCACTGTCCACTCTGCCTGTCAAAAGAAAAAAAAAAAAAAAAAGTTTTCAATAGCTCAAACTTTCCCATAGCGGGATATGCTCGCTCCTGAGAGTACACTTAGTGTACTAAGTAGGCACTTAGTACTCACCAGTGCTTTAGTATATTATTTTAAATTTGGATCATACCTTCCCAGGTAGTTGTCCCTTTTTTACAGATGAGGAAATAAATTTAAATTAAATATCCACACAACTGCCTGACAGATTCAGACCTTATCTCTGACTCCAAAGCTGTGTTTTTTTTCTTTGTAACACGAGATATTCAAGCAGAATATCATTGGTTGGGAGGAGGTGGCTTTTAGAAAGAGAGCCATTGTTTTTTAGTGACCTGCTCAGTACTGTTGTAGGTATTTGATCTGTGTTTCCGATAATATACAGTATCTTACTTCTAAGACTCTGTGTTCCTTTTAATGGCATCGAAGATTTTGTCTTTGCATCTTCTTGGCCAGTGGGCTTTACTACCCCTTCCTCCACCTTGCCCACCTCTTATAATGAAGGAATTGATGTCTGTTTTTTTGGTGTCACAGTGATTGTCCCTTGTCTCTTTCAAGCTGCTAGCATTTGGTAGATGGGATCACTGGGTATCCTGCAATGCTGTGACCGTCCCCAAATGATAATTGTCCTGCCAAAAATGTCTGTAGGGCCTCCTTTGACAGTCACTCTCCAAAAATTCCTTTTCCACTCCTAGTTCTTGACCACGCGCTTTACAGGCCTTCTACCCTGTACTGGTGATAATCTGCCTAAGTAGTGGGCAAGAAGCACCTGCACAGCCAAGTGCATGTCTGTTGCAGGTAGGCAGGTTGTACAGTGTCTCTGACAAGTTTCTCTCATCCTTCAGCTATACCAGTTTTTCTTTGCTTATTAAATCAGCCATTAGGTATGGCAACAATTAAGTATGCAATGGTGGTGACACCTGTCCTCTTCAGATTAGATAGGGAGTGGATATCCAGAATTTACCATTTTGTCTCTAGTTCTAGGCAAGACGTTTTAAGAGCAGGCAGCTGATAGACAAAGTCTAGGAAACAAATATGAAAAGAAGGTAATTGCATTAGGTAATTGCCCATTTTGATTTTCCTGGCAAAAAGTGCTTAAAGTTCATTGTGGATTAACTTCTGCACAGTATCTGAGACAGCACAACCATTCTTTTAAAGGATTACTTCCTTAACTGAAGCAGAAACTATAATTTTGTCCACAGTTTTCTAATTGAAATTTCCTTCTACACTATTACTCTAAACCTTAATAATAGCTGGCCTATGGGGCAGCCCAAGAATGTAAGAGTAATAGTGGGAATTCTTAGTAGATTAATTCTGAGTATTTCTCTCAGTAAACAAATTTTATCTCAAGGAAGGCAAGAATTAAATTACTGCCATTTTCTATACATACCTGTCTTTGTTATTAAAGAGATGGTAAAGTTATTTCTTTTGATTTACATTGATTTAAATAACTAGGCAAAGTGCATAGAGGCAGAGACCTTTAGAACAAAGTGATTTAAGACACTTAAGACTACCAAATTTTTTTATTAAACAGGAACAAAATAATATGTATGTAATATATAAATAGTAATATTAAATACCTGTGTATCTACCCTGTGTAAAGACCTTTGGAAATTTGAAACGTAGCAGGCTTGTTGATTTCACTCCCTCTCCCCATTTCTGCATCTGAAAACAAATGATGCAAAGGTTTGTTCTTTTTCAGAGTTTGTAAGATCTCCTCTGCCAACACAAAACGGGGAGCACAGTACGCTAAGAGGACTTTTTGTTCCCTTAATATTCCCTTTAATAATTTTCTTATCTCCGGCAGAGTGGACAGTGAGAGAGAGAGACAGAGAGAAAAGGTCTTCCTTTTGACGTTGGTTCACCCTCCAATGGCCGCCACGGCCGGCGCACTGCGGCCAGTGCACCGCGCCTATCCGAAGGCAGGAGCCAGGTGCTTCTCCTGGTCTCCCACACAGGTGCAGGGCCCAAGCACTTGGGCCATCCTCCACTGCACTCCCTGGCCATAGCAGAGAGCTGGCCTGGAAGAGGGGCAACCGGGACAGAATCCAGTGCCCCGACCGGGACTAGAACCCGGTGTGCCGGGGCCGCAAGGCGGAGGATTAGCCTATTGAGCCACGGTGCGCTTTTTATCTTAAAAATGAATCTTTTAATAGGAAAGAAATCCTTTTGTAAGGGGAGGAGTTTTGAGCAGGACCACTTTGACGGAATTGCAATCACGTTTGAACATATGCCAGCTAACTGTTTTCCTTTGATGTTTCAAGGGTCCCCAAGCCCCAGGCTCTTTCATTCTTCAGTATCTCCAGCTGTCTTAGGGTGGTAACTGCTTGAACAGCTGATTGAAAAAGTGAGTGTGAAACATCTGGAAGTCTTTGGCAGTTGGGAAGAATAAAGAAATGTAAAGAAAATGTCCAGGCAGGAACAATCTGTAAATTCTCAGTCTTGGAAATGGTTCTGAAGTGGTAGAATCTGGTGACTGTTAACCCAGCCAGATGATTTAAGCCAAATACAAAACTGTTTGAGTTGCTAAAAGCACTTGGGTGCAGTTGGTGATTGAATGCCTTAGAAGGACAGAAAATATAATCCAGGCATTACAGGGGCTCTATGTGAAAGATCATGGGGTGCCTGTCATTAATTAAGCTGCAGATTCTGGAATGTTCATTTTCCTTACGTTCAGATTTTTTTTTCTTGTCATTGTCTTTGTTTTTTCTTTGCGACAGGCAGAGTGGACAGTGAGAGAGAGACAGAGAGAAAGGTCTTCCTTTTGCCGTTGGTTCACCCTCCAATGGCTGCCGCGGCTGGAGCGCTGCGGCCGGCGCACCACGCCGATCTGATGGCAGGAGCCAGGAGCCAGGTGCTTTTCCTGGTCTCCCATGGGGTGCAGGACCCAAGCACTTGGGCCATCCTCCACTGCACTCCCGGGCCACAGCAGAGAGCTGGCCTGGAAGAGGGGCAACCGGGACAGAATCCGGCGCCCCAACCGGGACTAGAACCCGGTGTGCCGGCGCCGCAAGGCGGAGGATTAGCCTAGTGAGCCGCGGCGCCGGCCACGTTCAGATTTTTTATACAGAATTTTCATGTCAAGTTTCAGCACTCATTCATTTGTGTTATGTTTTCTGATATTTTTTACTTTAGCTTATGTTAACCACTACATATAATAGTATAAATCCATTCAGGAACAGACTTTGTCTAGTAGGAGCAGAATAGAAGTTATTAGATGTGACTACCTCTGAAACTAGGCCAATGGGAGTACTCATAAGGAAAGTTACCTTGAAAAGACCAAATCTTTTATAGTATAGTGATGGTAATCATGTTGATTCAAATCAGTGCTTTATAAAAAAATATATTTATTTATTTATTTATTTGAGAGGCAGAGTTAGAGAGATAGAGGTCTTTGATCCCTTGGTTCGCTTCCCAAATGGCCACAACTGCTGAAGCTGAGCTGATCCAAAGCCAGGAGCTCCTTGGGCCATCTTCCACTGCTTTCCCAGGCCGTTAGTAGGGTGCTGGATCGGAAGTGGAGCAGCCAGGACTTCAACCTTAATCTACTATGCCATAGCACTGGCCCCCAGATCTGTGCTTTTGACTGCATAAACAAGAGTGTGTCTATCCTAGTGTCCGTTAAAATTGTGAGTTATAATTTAGAGATGATACTGAATGGTAAAGCAAAGTTGTCTATTCACTTTGAAAGCACAAGTATTAAGAATATTTTTCTCTGGGGCCAGTACTGTGGCGTAGCAGGTAAAGCTGCTGCCTGCAGTACCGGCATCCCATTTGGGCTCTGGTTCAAGTCCCAGCTGCTCCACTTCTGATCCAGCTCTCTGCTATGGCCTGGGAAAGAAGTAGAAGATGGCCCAAGTCCTTGGGCCCCTGCACCCACGTGGGAGACCCAGAAGAAGCTCCTGGTTCCTGGTTTCAGATTGGCCCAGCTCCAGCCATTGTGGCCATCTGGGGAGTGAACCAGCAGATGGAAGACCTCTCTTTTTGCTTCTGCCTCTCTGTGCCTTTCAGATTAATAAATCTTTTTTTTTTTTTTTAATTTTCAAATTAACACAGGAAAAGAATGAAATCAGTATAGTGTAAAATCCATTTTAAAAAAATTTTAATCAGTTTTTAAGATTTATTTATTTATTTGAAAGGCAGAGTTACAGAGAGACAGAAGCAGAGAGAGAGAGAGTGAGAAAGTCTTCCATCTACTGCTTCACTCTCCAGATGGCTGCAACAGCTGAAGCTGCACCACTCCAAAGCTGGGAGCCAGGAGCTTCTTCCGGGACTCCTGTGGGTGCAGGGGCTGAAGGACTTTGGCCATCTTCTGCTTCTTTCTCAGGCCATAGCAGAGAGCTGGATGGGAAGTGGAACAGCTGGGATTCAAAATGGCACCCATATGGGATGCCAGCACTACAGGCATTGGCTTTACCTGCTATGCCACAGCACCAGCCACTAAAATCAGGTTTTAATTACCATTTTGTTTAAAACAATTTAAATCCAAGATCATGAAGGGAACAACAACAAAAAAGAGCCAAATAATATATCAGGATGTCAAATTATCAACAAACGTGTTTGGAATTTCTTCTCCTTCCAAAGAGTTATGCTAGGCATTAGCAAAGATAGATTAAATCTTCAAGAAACTGACAAGCCTGTAGTGTATGTCAGTTAATAGAACTTGGGGCTGGCGCCGCGGCTCACTAGGCTAATCCTCCGCCTTGCGGTGCCGGCACACCAGGTTCTAGTCCCGTTCGGGGCGCCGGATTCTGTCCCGGTTGCCCCTCTTCCAGGCTAGCTTTCTGCTGTGGCCAGGGAGTGCAGTGGAGGATGGCCCAAGTGCTTGGGCCCTGCACCCCATGGGAGACCAGGATAAGTACCTGGCTCCTGCCATCGGATCAGCGCGGTGTGCCGGCCGCAGTGCGCCGGCCGCGGCGGCCATTGGAGGGTGAACCAACGGCAAAGGAAGACCTTTCTCTCTGTCTCTCTCTCTCTCACTGTCCACTCTGCCGGTCAAAAAACACCTATTAAAAGAAAAAAAAAAAGAACTTGCTATAGGAAAGAGGGGGAGTGGGCTGGCCAGATCGGAACATCTTTTTGCAGGACAGGGATTTGAGCTTAAGCCCCTTTCTGGGTGGTTTGGGTAATGTAACAGAAAGGCATTCTAGATAGATGTTATTTCAGTGATATTCCAGATTTAGTTTCTTTAGCTGATGTACCCTGCATAGAATAAAATTAACAAATTTCATAATCTTTCATCTTACTTGGAGAGTTGAGGGTGGAAAGACATTTAGAAACTAGCAGCTGCTTAACAGTTATACTGTAATGGGGTTTGTTAATCAAAAGTTATGCAGGATCTTGTTTTGCAAATGCCGTCTTCCCATCTGCATTCTAGTTTTAGCTGACATATTGTGATAGTGTCTGGTTTTATCTCTTTTCAGTATTGCTTGGAACATATTCTACAGATTCTCAGACTATTTGATTTCTTTCTTTTATTTTCCTTTTTGTTGTTGTTGTTAAGATGCTGAATAAGAGGGTAGTTGAGAAAATGGCTAGCATTCCGTGTGAGTCTGTAACTCCCTCTTGTTCACAGGTGATGCTGTGGAATCTTCAGAAAGCACGGCCACTCTGGATTACAAACTTACAGGAGGATAGAACAGAAGAAGTGGAAGGCCCACAGTCACCTGGTCAGCTCTTTAACCCTGCTCTAGCCCACTCTGTCTCTGTGGCATCGTGTGGCAATGTTTTTAGTTGTGGTGCAGAAGATGGTAAGGTCCGAATCTTTAGGGTGATGGGAGTCAAGTGTGAACAGGAACTGGGATTTAAGGGCCACACATTGGGGGTATCCCAGGTATGTTTCCTGCCAGAATCCTATTTGCTGCTTACTGGAGGGAATGATGGGAAGATCAGGCTGTGGGATGTAAGTAGTGAAGTTGACAGAAAACAGAAGAGCCCTACGAAACACGCCCACAGGAAGAAAACTAAAAGAGCAACTTACACCAAGCAGGGTAAAAATGCTAGTGCTTCAGTAACAGAAGAGGAAGACTCTGGCAAAATTTCACCAAAGCTAAATATTGAACATGGAGAAAAAGTGAACTGGCTTTTGGGAACAAAAATAAAGGGACATCAAAATATATTAGTAGCTGATCAAACTAGTTGTATATCTGTATACCCCTTAAATGAATTTTAAATCCAATAAAAACAGGTTAACAGCTGGCAAAACTTTTTTTAGGTTAAAAAATTCCAGATTCTGGGGCAGACATTTGGTATAGTGATTAAGACGTTGCTTTGGATGCCTGCAGCCCACATCAGAGTGCTGGGTTTAAGTCCTGGCTACTTGCTTCCTATCCTGCTCCCTGCTAATGTAAGCCCTGGGAGGCATCAAATGATGGCTCAAGTACTTGGGTCCCTGCCACCCTTGTGAGAAACCTGGGTAGAGTTTTGGCTCCCGGCTTCAGCCTGGCCCAGCCCTGGCTGATGCCTGCAATTAAGAAGTTAACCAATGGATGAAAGAGTGTTCTCTCTCGCTCTCTCTGTCAAATAAATAATTCTTTTAAATTCTGGATTCTGGGGCTGGCATTGTGGCACACTGAAAGCTACTGCTTGCAATGCCAGCATCGCGTATCAGAATGCCTGTTGGAAGCGGTAGCTGCTCTGCTTCAGTCGGGCTCCCTGCTGATGTTCCCGGGAAGGCAGCAGAAGGTGGCCTTGGGTCCCTACCATGTGGGAGACCCAGATGGAGTTCCATCCTCACTTCGGCCTGGCCCAGCCCCAGCTGTTGTCACCATTTGGGGATGAACCAGTGGATAAGATATGAATCTCTCTCTCTTTGCTTCTGGTCTATCTCTTTCTCACTCTGCCTTTCAAATAAATAAGTATTTTTAAAAAACTTCTAGATTCTTCATTTGAACTGTTTATCGTATGCAGAATCATACCATTCCATTGTATAAATGTTAAGACATTTGGAAAGGTAATTGGATCATACTCCATATAGTAAATGACATTAAAATTTTGAATCACTATTCATTGAGTACTGACTGTGTTCTACCCATTTTACACATATTTCATTTCTTAATACAAACCAGTGAAGGAGGTTTTTCTCCTGTTTTAGTGGCTTGGGAATCCAGACTCAGATGATAAGCCACGTAAGGATGCAGGAAGATGGCAGGCACCGGGACTTGCCTGGACAGGACCTTGACTGCTTTGTGAAGCCTTTCTCCTTGGGAAGCCCACCTCCTGACCCAAATGCAGCATTAGTTACAGCAGTTGTTGTCGAAAGGAGGTTTACCGGGGCTGGTGCTGTGGTGCAGTGGGTTAACGCCCTGGCCTGAAGTGCCGGCATCCCATATGGGCGCGGGTTCGAGACCCGGCTGCTCCACTTCCTGTCCAGCTCTCTGGTATGGCCTGGGAAAGCAGTAGAAGATGGCCCAAGTCCTTGGTTCCCTGCACCCATGTGGGAGACTGGGAAGAGGCTCCTGGCTTCTGGCTTTGGATCGGCACAGCTCTGGCCATTGCGGCCATCTGGGGAGTGAACAATTGAAAAAAAAAAAAAAAGGTTTACCAAGCTGGAAGAGGAATCTGTGTTTTCCTGGTTGTGTAACTTTCAGAGGCTTTGCTCACGGTCACCTCCTGCTGTGTTTCTGAGAAAGGGGTTCCAGGATAGCTGAATCATGTGGGGCTGTTAGGCAGCGATCCAGGACATGATGCTGGTGGGAGCAATGAGTGGAAGTTGTAAATGATTAGAAGATACAAGATAGAGCAAAGGCCATGCGTCATGTGTAAATACAAGTTTCTTTTCATCGTCGCCTCTGCACGTTCTTGCATCTTTTTCTAATACTGCCTACTCGTAGAGAGTTTTGAAGGGATAATCTGTTTACCAATACCCTTGTTTATGGGGAGCTTTTTTAGTAAGCTTTTCTAATTGGGACTTATGTTACAAATGGCAGAAATCAAATTCAAATTGGCTTTCAAGGAGTAGAGAGGAATTCATTGACTCACAGATCTAAGAAGTTGCAGAGTAGTCAGGCATGTCCTGCTGGTGCACTACACTGACAGGGTGTGACCTGGAAGTGCCCCACCTTGGGGAAGCCTAGAGGTGGAGAGAGAATACTCAGCAATTTTGAGCATGAAAACAGCCGCCATTCCTGAAACCGGTTTGTTTGTGTGGTGGTGGTGTTTTTTTTTTAACCTTAAACTAGCTTAAGCTAGATTTTTAACTTGTAACTAAGAGTCTGGACCAATAAGTAGGCAGTCAGTAAACATTGCTTAGTGATTTCACTTAGAATTTACGGAAAAGGGAGTACCGTTGTTGGCCCTGAGAAGTTTATTGACAAAGGGCTGTGGTTTCAGTAGCAGAAATTAGGGTCTAATCCCAGTACTGGGCAAGTCTCTGGGCCATTGGGGCCTTTGTTTCCTTATTTGAGAGTGAAGGTATTGAATTAGACGTCCCCTAAGGTATCTTCCATGCCACTGTTCTAGGAAATGAAAGTAGGGCCACCATAATAGTGTGCTTATATGCTTTTCTAATGGTTCTAATCTGATTAAAATGTCAGGAAAAATCTTGGGCAATCTGGGGTTTTTAGAAGGATCTTTTGAAAAGGTACTACAACATTGTTTTAGCTATTGAGTATGAATAAGAGACATCCACTTAGGACTGGCTAAGCAAAAATGAAAATTATCATCCAGAGAAGGATGGGAGCAGGGAGTAGAATTCTCTTAATCTAGAGGAGAGATACAGCTCTGCTTCACTTGGATCTCTAACCAGGGAAGCCATTAAGAACCAAGACATGGGGGGGGGGGGGGGGGGGGGGTATGACATAGCAGGTAAAGCCACCGCCTGCAGTGCTGGCATCCCATATGTGCACTGGTTCAAGTCCCGGCTCTGCTATGGCCTGGGAAAACAGTAGAAGATGGCCCAAGTCCTTGGGTCCCTGTACCCGCGTGGGAGACCCGGAAGAAGCTCCTGGCTCCTGGCTTTGGATCGGCTCAGCTCTGGCCATTGTAGCCAATTGGGGAGTGAACCAGAGAATGAAAGACCTCTCTTTCTGCCTCTTCTCTCTCTCTCTGTAACTCTGACTTTCAAATAATATTAAAAAATAAATAAACTCTCAGCACACAATAAAAAAAAGAGAACCAAGACATGGGTGTAGGAGTTTGGAGCAATGGTTAAGACATCACTTGAACACCTTCATCCCATATCAGAGGTACTGGATTTGAGTCCTGGCTCCACTTCTGATTCCAGCTTTCTAGTGAGCACCTTGGAAAGCCAGCAGGTTCTAGTCATTTGGGTCCCTGCCACCCACATGGGAGACCTGTGTTGAGTTTTTGACCCAGCCTTATCTGTTGCGGGCCTTTGGAGAACAAACCTGCAGATGAAAGATCTCTCTTGGTCTGTCTCTCCCAAATAAAATGAAAATAAATCAGTAAAATAAGACAAAGACAGTTGTGTTGAAAAAGAAAAAACAAAAAGCAAGTTACTTGCACTTCCAGTCTGTGATCATTTTGTTGGATGACTGGATCGAGGTTCTTGTCTCCTATGCAAGAAAGAATTCAAGGAATAAAGTTGATTATCAGCAAGGCAAAAGTACACACTTGAGAGGGAGTGTGAACACACTTGAGAGTGAGCTGCACTCAGCGAGGTTCAGGATTATCCCTTTATATGATCTGAAGGAATTGAATATTCATGGGAGCCATGTTTGGGGCAGGGTTTAAGTATATCACCATGATAATTTTATTATAATGACATAATTCGCTACATGTCATGGGTGGGGGGAATGCCATCAGCAGCCATTTTGGATATTTTCAGCTGGCATCAGTTCCAGGCGGTTTCTCAGAAATAGCTGTTTTCTGCAGTACAGGTTGAGGGAGGTGTGTTGGGGGAGTAGGTGGGATGGTAGGGAGAGGCTGCTGACCTCCGCTTTCTCCTTACTGCTTGCCTATATTAGCTTGGCTCTGTTTCTTTGTACATAATAGCTTTCACTTAGCAAAGATGGCATTTCAGGGCTACATCTGCAACCCATCTCAATGCTGAGTCAAGGCCCAAGATGTGAGGAGAATCTAGTCCATCATCATTCCCACCCCTGATTGATCTGCATTGTCCTGGAGGGTGAATGTTGCCTAAGGGGCCCACCCTATAGGCTGAGTCAGTAGCCCCAAAAATCTACAACCAAATATTATAGTAAATTTATAGTATGAGGGCCAGTGCTGTGGCGCAATGGGTTATTGCCCTGGCCTGAAGCGCCAGCATCCCATATGGGCACCTGTTAGAGACCCAGCTGCCCCGCTTCCGATCCAGCTCTCTGCTCTAGCCTGGGAAAGCAGTAGAAGATGGCCCAGGTCGTTGGGCCCCTGCACCTGTGTGGGAGACCCAGAAGAAGCTCCTGGCTCCTGGCTTCGGATCTGCGTAGCTCCAGCCATTGTGGCCAATTGGGGAATGAACCCAGTGGATGGAAGACTCCCTCTCTCTCTCTCTCTCTCTCTCTCCTCTCTCTGTGTAACTCTGACTCTCAAATAAATAAATCTTAAAAAAAAAAAAAAAAAACAGGAACTAAGGACCAGTTATTAAAAAAATTTACAGTGTGAAAATTATGTGCAAAATCAACTTCTTAGGAATGGTGGCTTTTTTTTGTTGTTGTTTTTTTGCTGTAGTTTAATTCTCAGTGTGCAGGAGGCATGCCAAGAATATTTTAGTCAATGAGGGCTAAGGATACGTAAGGGTGAAGTGGAAGGAAGCACCTCCGCCTAGGCTTCCAGAGAACCAGGTATCATTTTGAACACAGCTTAGCTCTCGTAGCCAGCTGTCCACCCAAGTGACAAAGGAACTTCAATGATCGCCTCTCAGAGATGCGTATCTGTCCTACTCTACCTATAGTAGGCCAAAAAATGTCCCCCAAACGTATCCATTCTAACTACCAGAACCTGTAACTATTTCCTTTTTGGTAAAAGAATCTTTGCAGATCTGGTTCAGTTGTGAATCTTAAAGGATTGTATTAAAGAAATAATATTTGTACACTTGCTTTCCTGTTAGAGTATAAGATGCTTGAGGTGAAGACTGCCCTGTTTTACTTGAGTATACAGTCCCTAAATCCTGTCCTAAAGGTCCCTAAAGGCCTGTCCCTAAATCCCCCTCCCACACACACACATCAACACAAATCGTACTCATTAAATATTCAATGAATCGAGGGAGGTGGAGAAGGTGAAAACATGAAAAGATGTAGATGGTGGGCTGGCACTGTGGTACAAAGGGTTAATGCCCTGGCCTGAAGTCCCAGTGCTGGTTCAAAACCCAGATGCTCCACTTCCGATCCAGCTCTTTGCTCTGGCCTGGAAAAGCAGCAGAAGATGGCCCAACTCCTTGGGCCCCTGCACCTGCATAGGAGACCCAGAAGAGGCTCCTGGCTCCTGGCTTCGGATTGGCACAGCTCTGGCCATTGCGGCCATCTGGGACGTGAACCAGCGGATGGAAGACCTCTCGCTCTGTCTCTACCTCTCTCTGTAACTCTGTCTTTCAAATAAATCTTAAAAAAAAAAAGATGTAGATGGGAGAAAAAAGTATAGTCAGCTTGAGGTGAACCAGGCCAAACCCTCCGCCTATGCCGCAGGTTACTCTTAACACCAGTTGTCAGGGCCACACATTTGCAGACTCAGGCATGCTCACTTCACATGCGATATTCCTTCTCCAAATTACAATCCAGGTGTGACCCAGAACACACAAGCTTGGGGCTGCTGCAGTGCCACCCAATCATTCCTCCCTACCACGAGCAGAAATACCTTCAGGACTAGTCATTCACCCTCTGGCTGACCCCTGTGTAGTTTTGGTGCGAATGACAGCTCTGCCCTGACCTCACTTTTCCTGTTTATAAGCAGAGAATTAGTGAAAACCAGTAATACATTGCATATGTGTTCTCTCTGTGTATGTTTTGTGAACTGTTTGAAAGTGGGACACCATGACTGTTGATCTCAAAATACTTGAGCACGCATCTCCTAAAAAAGGACACTCTCCAGTATAATCATAGTACAGGCA